TGTATTCGTCCGCTCGAGCGTTGTAAAATAATCTCGCAAAAAGATCTGTGTTTATAAGAACAGTCTAGCAACTAAAAAAAAAGAAATTGAAATTATATATTTAAGGTAGAGATTTGCTTAGGATGTTATAGTAACATTCAAACTAAAGTTGCCTTTTTTTTATTCACAGTTTAATTCGGTTTGTTTTTATATATTTTATTAGATGTTCCTTGTACTGTATATCATAGGGGTTCCTTTCCCCAGCCCAATGCCTATGGCGCATGCCCCCAAAAAAACTTAATTGTCAGTCCCCCTCACTTGTATTAATAATATATATGTACATTAAATGTAATATCAACGTTTGTTTAAAAGATGGTAGATATAATATTATTTTGTTTCTCAAGAAATATTTAAGACACAATACATTTTAGGAGATTACAATCAACAAGTAACACCAGTAATAGCCACTTAGGATGCACATTTGGAAGGCCAGGGACACAAGAAAATGGAGGTCGAATAGAGTAAAAATGCATTTACAGCTGGATTTTCTCATGGCATCAGACTTTGCCCAGATACCTTAGTCTCGCCGGAGGTGATGGGGAAATTTGAAGGTATTTTTAGAATTTTATTTATATTACATATAGTGGAAGGACCAGTAGGAATTAAGGATTGGAATCTATAGGTGGCTAATTTCAGCTTTAATTGTCAGCAGTAATAGTTATAGTTGCGATAGGCGGGGATGTGTAGTAAATTGTCATAATGATCTGGCATGGAATTATATTGAATCAGGTCCAGATTTCCTGCTAAATTATATTTATTAATAATTCTTGAGGACTCCATTGGGGAGGAGGGATAAGGAAACAGTCCAGACAGCTAGTTGGACTATCTAGAAAAGAAATGGATGGCACAGGCGGATCTATGGGAGGGGGTAAGAGGGGTCTTTCAGGATGAAGCCCTAATCCCAAAATGAAAAATGTATCGCTTAAAGTATTATTGTTGGTATATTTACATTTAATAGGACTTCAAGAATTACTTAAACACTATTTCATATAGGTAGTTAGTATCTTTCTTTTTTTTTTTAATAAGTAGTTATCGTTATATATACAGGGGAAAAAATCGTTATAAAATGAAAATTATTAGGGATTATTAAAAAAAAAAAATTAATTTTAGAAATAGAATAATAGTAAATTCTATCTTTTTTTTATAATTTTGTTTTAAAATATTTTTGCCTTTAAATCAGAAATTTATATGAAATAATTGCTAGAGTGTTTTCAAAAGAAGGTAGGATTTCTTAATAGTGGGGAAGGGAGAGGGAAGAATAAATTTGAAGGTCACCAACAAAATTCTTTTGAAAAATTACCATATGTGACAGGTTGGTTGATAGTACTGAAAACGTTCTATGGGCGAGTTGGCCAAATGAACTAATGCGTGTACACAGCATCGCCGTTGCCCTGCAACCTGATATATGACCAATAATATAAAAATAGTAACGAGTTCGCATCCCGGTGAAGAGGGAGTCTTTTAAATCCTCACCCACACCTCCTGGACCTGGGAAAAAACCCTATAGCCTTAACAATGAGGACCCAAAAAAAAAAATTTCTGAAAGAAACTAATGAGGAAATAAAGAATTATTTCTCCACATTAATCTTCATTTCCTAATTAGTTTCTTTCAGAATGTTAAAGTACTATCAACCAACCTGTCAATTTTTCTTTTCTTTTTTTTTTTCAATTTTTCAAAAGAATTTTATTTATATTTGTTAATATTTTATTTTAAATTTGTTCCGTGTTCCATAGCAAAAGACACGGCACTAGTTATATTTATTAACACTCTGAAGGTCGCTAGCCTTAGCCTTAGAGTCACTGGCTGAGATCCACTTCACTAATTTTTTAAAAATTTCTCATTGTACTTTAATTAAAAGATAACAGATGAATTTTTGGTACTTATTTAATAGCAGGTAGCTTCAAAACCTCCTTATCTAATCTCATTTTACATAACCTCCCTTATCTCATCTACCTTCTTTAATTTTTGTTTCTTATGTTAGCTGTGAGTTAGAGTTATTTAATTATGATGTTGTCACATTGCGGGAATTCCCGTCTTCAGAAGAAGAAGCTATAAAATATTTTCAAGAGGCCAGGATATTTGCAAAGGTCAAATATTGTGATGAAGGTTATCAAATGAAGTCCGACAGGAAGATTAAATGGAGATGCTTTTGTTGTTGTAACCAAACTGTTTCTAAAAGGAAAGGAAGCTGGTTTGAGGGGTCGAGGATTTCTTTTTTAACGGCTTTAAAATTCATTTATGGGTGGTCCCATAACTTAACAACAATACAGTGGGGGAAAGAGCAGCTCAAACTATCCATAGCAACTATGGTAACATGGAACAAATTTTTAAGAGAAGTTTGTGCCCATGACGGATCCCTTCCTTGCTATTTTAAATACCATAAAACTATTTTACCTATCAAAATAAATCAAGTTAAAATAAAATTTATCATATTTTGTTTATATTGTTTCTTCATAGTGTTTCTTTTATATGTACATATGCTGTTTAAGTGTTTTCTTTTATTATTTCATCTATTTTTTGCCTATTTTTATCATTTCATTTATTTTGATATATATGTTGCAATGTTTTTTAATTATATATTTACAATGTGTTGGTATATTTTAATATATATGTTATAAAATAAAAGTATTTTTTTATTATTACATTTGTTTTTGTTCACAATTTCAATAATATCAATACAATACAATAAATATGAATACGAAGATTTTTTTTTTTTTCTTATGCCATTCGTTGGTCATTTGGCCATCCGACATCTTGCTGCACAGTATAATTTAGATTTTCTGATATGTATATTTGAAAATATTTTGTCTCTTATGTCCCTCAAGGCAGGACATGCGTCTAGATGGTCTGCATCCATTGTTCCTAGATGACACAATTTACAACTAGGATCCTCAGCGACGCCTATCTTGTAGAGATGACTCTGCAGATAGTCGTGACCAGTGGCCAGGCGGAAGCAGGCAACTGCATCTCTTCTCGGCAGCTCAGCTGGAATCGGATTATCCTTCAACCACTCGTAACACTTCCCTTCCACTTTGCCGAAATGTACTTTTCTTATTTCCTCCTTCACTACTATCTTCACCATTCGCCATACTGAGTCGTAAGGTTTTGGATGTATCGGCTAAGGCAAATCTGTTCCTCGCTTGGCAAGAATATCAGCCTCAACGTTACCCGGAATCCCACAATACGAAGATATAATAATATGAATATAATACAATAAGTATGAATAGGAAGAGCTTATCAGTGTTAAGGTTATAAACATTGGCAGATAGCAGTGGGACGCTACCCGCTATTAAATAAGTACCAAATTTTTTAATATATTTATTGAGTAAATCTTAATGGGACATCTTAGTACAAGCATTCAGCACCACACCATAAAAGCTTGATGTGTAATGGCTATCTATAGAGGTATCACCGAAAAAACTGAAACCTTGTCGTAATGATAAGTTTTAACCATGTTAAAAAAGTAAAAATACTTTTCCTTAACATTTTTATTTATTTATTTTAAATGATATTTACAACTTTATACAAAAAAAATACATCTAGTAAATTTGCACATTGGTATAAAGACATGGAACACATGTTGAGAAACTACCCATTGGTAGCACTCTAATAATATGTCTATATTAGAAGATCACATGGCCATCTTCTTTTCAGATGCCTTGGAGGGTTATCAGGAATCGAATAGGAAGCAAGGTTAGAGACAAGAGGGTTGGGATGGTTATGAAGTTTATTATGGAAGGACAGATATCTGGATTGGGCCAAATCTGATACATAAGGAACATTAAGGTCATTATGGATAATTTTATTTGTAACAAAGTAAGGAGCATTGAGGATTTTACGAAGGATTTTGGATTGCAAGGACTGTATGCGAGAGGAATTCGAAGACTTGGTGGAGCCCCATAGCTCAACCCCGTAGGTCCAAATAGGCCTTATTATAGTCATGTAAATCAGTCTTTTATAATTGATTGGAAGGTTAGAGCGTTTGTCTAGTAAGTGTTGAAGTAGTCGGAAACGTCGAGCGGTTTCTTGTCGTTTCAGTCTGGTATGAGGATTCCAAGTTAGACGTTTGTCCAGATGGAGTCCTAGGTAACGGATTTGTTCAGCAGGAATAAGTGAGGTGTTGTTAAAGGATACTGAAGGACAGGAAGTCATTGGTTTACGACGAAGGGTGAAGGTAATTTGATGGGATTTATTGGAATTTATTTTAATTCTCCAGTTCTGACACCATTCTTCAAGGTTTGTGATGTGGGATTGAAGGGTTTGGGATGCAATAGATGGGTCGTTATTGACTGATAGGATACATGTGTCATCAGCATATGTGGTGATGACAGTGTTGGGATCGGTTGGGATGTCAGCTGTATAAACTGTGTAAAGGATAGGACCTAGGATACTACCTTGAGGAACACCTGCAGACTGGGAAAAACGGGATGTATATACATTGTTGCGATTTACTTTAAAGTATCTATCAGTAAGGTAGGAACGGATAATGAGGAAGTAGGTAGATGGTAGGAATTTTCGGAGTTTGTACAGCATTTCTTCAACATAAACACGGATTAAAATAACAAAAAGTTACAGAAAGAACATTCTACAATAGATTTGTAGTCATGAGAAAACACTAACCTAATTGTTTATCCACATCAGGAAATCTTATTCATAATATAAGTTTTGAGGAATAGATTCAAAAACTAATGGAATATTATAAAAGTTTATAAAAGTAACAAAAAAATTTTTGAGTTCAGTATTTTGTTAGGAAGCAGTTTCTTGGTCAACAGGATTCTTTTATCCTTCATTAAGATTACCCAATTAATGAACCTGAGTGTGCCCAAGGAGGGTCTGCCAACCCCAAGTTTCATCCACAGCCGGTGTAATAGAATAAATAATTACCTGCCAGACTCGAGCACAGTTATTTACTCACTGAGCTTCCCTAGTTCCTAATACTGGTAAAATTAATAAAACTTCCAACAGTAAAAAAAAGTTTATTGATAACTAGATATTAATACCTATAAATCTTCTATACACTTACTGAAAATTTACTTTCTATTACAATTTACTTTCACTGATTTACTTGTTACTAAGTCTAACACTTTCATTACAAGAAAGATATTTTACGGAACAACAGAATCATAGATTCATTTATAATTATAATAAGAGAAAAGATTAATATCACTAATGCTAATTACATAACAGAGTTAATTTTAAAAAACTCAAGATAGTCACAAGAAAATTAATACAGATTCTTAAGAAGTCCAAGCAAACAATTAATTAATTGTTGAGAAGCTTTAAAAAATTCAAACAATTTATATAGGTTACATTAAAAAAACAAAAAAAATTATTATGAACTGCCTTGAAATATCTATTAACCTTTATAATATTTGTTTTATAATCCACTAAATACACAGCTATATATACACAAAAAAAAATTACAATGTTTACAACACTGACCACAATTGCCGACAATAAAGAGATTTTAACAAGGCATCGCCAGTTTTCTAAATAGAACAGTAAATGATTATCTGCGATATTTATACTTTCGTTTCCTCCTTTGTCGCATCGGACCAGGATTATTATTTTGAAATGGATCATCATATCTACGAACCATCCTATCATCGTGATAAGTTTTGTAAGGATGGTTGCGACGATCAGAAAATCTATCATAGTAATTATACGCAGGTTTTGCAAAATTTTGATGATAGTAAGAAGGAATCTTTACTACACTTTGCAACACTGCGGGATAACGCCTTTGGTCATAATTATAAGATCCTGTATAAGCAGGATGAGGTATATTATCATATATAATATCATTAGGAAGAGGAGGAACATAATCATATCTTCTATTGCAGGGTTGTACATAAGCAGGTGGGATATCAAATGCATCCGGTAAGGTAATGCTTTGGTTAAAATCTTCAAACCCAATGAGGCGGAAATCCTTCTCGGGTAATGTGACATCATTATTCACATTGCTGATATCGCACTGTTTCGTGATCAGGATATTAGGACCAAGATGATTGCTAGAAGAAGGTAAATCATTGCTGCAGTCGGTTTGACCAACAACATTATTATTTTGAATATCGCTAACTGTTCTCATAAGAACTGGTGGTGCCTTGTGGTAATTTGGCGGCGTTTTCATATATATTCTTTCCTTCTGTACTTTATCATGTTTCACTTCTTCAGATGGTTTTTCGTAATGTGTTACTCTTATGTTTTGTATTTTCTTCTTCCGCTGTTTTCTTTTACTAGGTGTATCTAAGAACAATTAATAAAAGGTTAATAATAAGAAATATATAATCAAGTAAATTATTTCCATATACTGTCGTTTGATCAAATATAGGTCGACCCTCATCCTCCCTCACATATATCACAAATGATCTTTGCTAACTCTCTAAGAAAACGTCTGATTTATAGTTGAATAAAAAAAAAAAAGTTAATTTGTCCATTTCCATGAGATGTTTATCTAATACATATACTCATTTTTCAAATAATGGAATGGTTTAAATTGAAAGGAAATAAAGCACTAAAATGAAAACTTATCTATCTAATTTGTTTTGATTCATTTCTAAGAAAAGATTAAAGTTTTTTAAGCAAGCAAGCATTTCTCATTAGTAATTCCAAACACCCATTTGATTATTTTCTTTCCAACTTATTGTTTTTTCTTAGCCTTAATGTCGCCTTATTCAACCATAGCATGACGTAAACAGCTACCTAACATCTCTTAATTCTGCCAATTTTATAAACATGTATTGATTAAGTCTAATAAAATACACTTTAAACTATCCTTGCCTACTATATCAGCTATTCTGATGTTATGGTTTTATCTAAACAGTATTTTAATTCTCAGCTCCTTGTTAAAATCTACTATTTGCCTTTTACTACCACCCCTTATCCCAATTGGAAAGCCTTTTTTATATTGCATTTTTTTTTCATAAAACATGTAATAATGTAGTTACACGCAATCCATTATTATTAATCTAAACTGTATTACAAGATTTCCCAACACAAAGTAGAAACAATCAGGTTGAACTCAAATTTTTCTTGATCAAACAGAATTTAGGTTCCAAATATAGGTTTACCCCTCATTTTACAGTAGAAATTTTCAGTAAAAAACAAACAAAAAAACTGAACCTATATTCATGCAAACACACAGATTATTATTTAGTAATATCAAAAGCTGCATAAAAAAATAAACGACTTTTTTTTCTCTTCATATTTTCATACACACCTGTCACAATCTTGACAATAAGCAGATGTGATATTAAAAATACTAGGAAACAAAATATAATAAATACCAGTAACTTCCTAAAATACAATCTATATAGTGGAATTGTGGTATTCAGTATAAAAACAATAATAAAAATTAACTTTTGACTTACTTAATTTAAAATTATAGGAGCCCTTAATTCACTGCTAAATAAATAATTAAACACTCAAATTATCAACTAACCTGCACTGAATTTATCTATTTTGTTAGCAATGAGTTCAATTTTTCTAAACATCTGCTTCACTTCATGATTAGCCGATGAATTAATGGCGTTTTCAATATTAGATGCTAATGACATCTTCCAATTTTTTAAATTTCCAGGAAGTTTAACATCCCAAGATAATGCTGAAATAAATAACAGAAGAAAAATGTATCATTGAAATACTTAAACTCTTCAGATAACTTACATTGTTATCATTAATTTATTCAAATAATAGTCTTACCAATATGTGTAAGAAGTAAATTAGTTAAATATCTCATTGCAGCTGGCAAGAAATGAATACCATCAGCTGATCTCCTGTGGAAACGTAATGTAAACAAATGATATAATAATTCAGCAAAAATAAATAAATAAAATATTATAATTTTCTATTCCAGATTGATAAAGTATTAACAGTGTTCAATAAATCAGAATTTTAATTTAGGATACATGATGATTGACAATTGAATTGAGATATCAAATTTGCTAAAATAAAGATTGGCATCCCTATTTTAAAAATTATTTTCAGAGGAAACATACGGAGTTTTCATAATACATTGCTACAATACACATGTCACTCCATTTTCGTGAGTGGCACAAGATAATCTAATTATCACACTATAAATGGAATCAGGAGAATGGCCGAGTGTGTTTGAAAGTGAACAAATGGTCTGCTAAGGTTCTGACCTCAACTGTAACCTTTTGGGCATGCAAAGTGAGTGGAGGTTGAAAGTAGCGATGTAATTTAGTCGTAAATCAAGATCTAAATAAAGGGAGGTTATACTGTGAACACATTGTAAATCCTTGGCTATTCTCAGAATCAAACTTATACCATGATCGTAAGATCTTGGCCCACTCGTGAAAGTGGAGTGATACTTATTCAGTAATACCATTATTTAAAGTAACTTTAGTTACTAATTTACAAATGTCACTCCACTTTCATTGGATGGAGTGGTACAAGAATTCATGATCACATCACAAACGGATTCCCAAGAATGGCAGAATATGTTCGTAAGTAGACTGAACGGTCTGATAAGACGATGACCTAGATTTTTAAGAACCTGTTAGGGGTTTGTATAACCAAGGGATCACTGAACTACGGCTCGTGAGTGAGATCAGCGCAGATGCAGGCCAGACCCCGCAAGCACCTCCAGTCCAGCCTGCAGAGAGGTCACGGTGGCCGAGTGTGTTGGAGTGTTGCCCGTAGCGTCCTCGTGCCTAGCGACGCCGGTTCGAATCCGGTCTGGGAGTGGTTCGACTTTTATTTTGTGGCAGCCCCACGGAATGAAACTCGACCCTCCCACTCTGGTTAAAATAGGTTTGGTTGTACCTCTAGAACACTGTATAATCAACGTTATCCAAAAAAGAAACGCCATGAATTTCCATACATACAATACTGAACTTTTCCAACACATCATTTTTGTATCACATTGACCATTAACTTTTGGAAGATGGCATTAACCAAAGACATATTGATTCAAAAGGTTTTCCAAATATTGTGCGGACTTATAAATCATGATGAAAAAATTGTTAATTACCCAACAGAATTCTTGAATTCATTCAATTTGCCATGTCACATTTTAACATTGCAAAATCATTCTTCTCCGAAAGACCAATCAACCACGACTTTGCAACGGTATAGGACATGCAGTGAAAAAGTTGATAAACAATGTTATCAAAGCTACAATTTTGAATTGGAAATTGAAGCGAGAAGATGTAATGTTGCCACGTATTCCAATGAACATAACAGACATGAATTGAATTTAAATGTTCACAGTTTCCGGTGGGACTCGCTCATGCAATGACCACCAACAAAGCACGAGGACAATCGCTGAAAGTTGGGCTAGATTTGAAGAATCCGTACTTGTCATGGACAACTGTATGTGGCTAGTTGATGAGTTAGAAAAACTTCTGACTTATTGTGTGCGCACCAGAAGGTAAAACAAAAACTATCATGAATTCACAAGCACTTAAATCAATAAATAGAATTTAAAGGACACTTTGAAATGTTTTCCATATGAAAAATAATAAGTTTTATAATAAAAATGACATAATGTAAATTGAATGTTATCATACCGAGAAGGTAAGTTAGAAGTGATATATAATGATTTATTTTTAAAAAAACCTATAAGTCGAGGGAAGTAAAATTAATACCAAATTGATTCGTGGACTCCAGATATAGAAACGCCAATGGTTAGTAGATCGCAGTTTTAGAATTTACATACTAGGGTCACGATATTGATACTAAACTAAAAGGAAAGTTTTGCTGTGTTTGTCTCATCTTATTATAATAATAATAATAAAAGGCTTAGCGAACCCGAAGGATCGATGCCGACACCACCAATCGCTTATTACACACCTCCCTCCACCGTTCGCCGTCCAAACCCAATCCCTTCAGATCGGCTTTAATGAAATCTTCCCATCTTCGCTTCAATAGAATCGTAAGCCTTTTTGAAATCGATATACAGCTGGTGAACAACACCGTTGTACTATAATTTTTTCTCTAATATTTGCTATAAAGAAAATATTTGATCAATAGTCGAACAATTCCGTCTAAATCAGCATTGGTAGTCTCTGATAATTTCCTCGGCGTATTCCATGATTCAACTGGTTAAGATTAAAGTGAATATTTTATAACAAGAGGGAAGGAGTGAAGTTCCTCAATAGTTATTACAATCCGTTCTCGGGCCCTTTTTGTGAATCGGAATAAGAATAGATTCTTTCCATTCTTCAGATAATTTTTCATTCTCCCAGATCTTTTTAACCAATCGATGTATTTTAGAAACTCCAGCTTCCCCGCATGCCTTAATTAGTTCAGTAGGAATATTATCAGTTCCCACTGGTTTATAAGATTTTAATTTTCCGATAGCTACTTTAACTTCCTCTTTACTTGGTCCTTCTATTAACGGTTCAGCACTATGGTACTCAGAAGGACACAGATCATAATTTCCCGTATTTAAAATATTGTCAAAGTGGTTCTTAAACTTATTTAATATGTCAATCGGATCGGTCAGAATATTGTTATTTTCATCCCTGATTCCAGACATTGCGGACCCTAAACATTTACCTGATCTGTTTATACCTTTGTACATGTCTCTTACGTTATTTTCGATTCTATTAGTTTCTATTTCAATAATTTTATTTTTAAGATACTACCTTTTTTTATTTTTGAGAAATTTTGTCGTTTCGTTCTTTGAAGCTTAGAAGTATTCCAGATTATCTTCGCTAGGATTATTTAGAGCTTTTAATTTAGCGGCTTTTCTTTTTTCGCACATGTTTAAGCAATCTTTATCAAATCACGGTTTGTTATTCTTGTTTTCCTTTTTTCCTAGACACTTATTATAATACAAGCTCAAAAACCATGAATATGTTGAAATCACATAATATACACTGGGTTAAGTTAAAAATACCACTTGATAGAGATCTGGTTCCCTTGTACCGAAAACCACATATGTATATATACTGTAATGTAAATATTTCATAGTGATTTTAAATAGTGGCACTGCTTAAATGCGTTGCTTGGCGTTAAATGCTGGCGCGAAAGCAGTGACTACGGACGGACTACTGTCAAAATGAACAAAGACATGTGGAATGGGAAGCAAGAGCCATATGTTAGGGCAGAAGGTAGCCAGCCAGCTAGTAAAGATGATCGAGAGAAGAAAAAGTGACTAACAAGTAATGAGTGTCAATAAGGGAGAATAGAAGATTGAAAGAAAATTGTAGAAGTTGAATACAACAATACAGAGGAGAATGCATTGTAGAACAGGGGGAGTGAAATATAAATAATGACAGTTGGAAAGGGCGCCAAGAGTAGACCCCGACAAAATGAATGGAAATTCATAAATGTTATGTAGAATTAATGTATGATTTTATATTTATAATTGAGGAGTGTGTGTTTGTTGTCTCAACCCAAACTAAGAAATAATGATTGTGTAAAAGAAATATAATTTGGTTAAGAAACTGTTTTGTTTACTTTACAAAGGAAATGTAACCTAACAACACTAATATTGTCAGGGTCCATGTTATATTAAGCTTATGTTACGCATGGAAGCATGTTGTAATCTTTCGCTCGTATTCCTTTGGTCCTTCCATTACAACTATTATCCATTATGATTTCTCCTTCAGTTAATTATAAAAATCTTTCATATTTTATTACAGAGATCAATGTGAAATGGGTAATTGCTTCAAATAAAAACATTAGAGGTACTTAAAAGGAAGCTGATATTAAAAATTAGCCATTTAAAAGCTGTTAGAGAACATGTATTAAAACTGCTTAATAATACACTGATATACTACATAGTTAATTTAATCAAAATCATTAGCCGTTTTTTAGATCATAAAAAAGTGTTAAATCGATTAAATAAAGAACCACTTCTTGTTTGCCTATTTTGATGAAAATGTAGATGAGAATGTTGCTGTAACATCCAAGGGCTTATAAAAACCTGAAACACAATTTCAGTTTTGTACGACTTTTTGTTTTTGAGCTAGGCTGATCACATAAACAGACACAAGACTATTTTGTTAATTAATCATTGGTTATTTGGACTCAGGGGATCTCAAAACGTGTATTTCCATTGAAAAATCTGATTAGAAAAGTTTCACGTTCACAATACTTACTCTTACTATATATTACATATATAGATAAGTGAAAGTAAAAAAAAGAATACATCCTTCTGTGATACGATAATTATGTGAAAAGTCTTACCTCATAATCTGGTAACGCATGTAATGGTGAAAGTCAAGAACATCATATCCATAAGAAGCGACCAAGGATGCAGTGAATGAGTTTGCTTCGATTACATGAATTCTAAGCATGGCTTGTATAAATTCAATCTAAAAAGAAAAAAAAAATCAGTTATCAAGTTAAAAACACATTTTCTATGTTGTATATAGAAATGACTTCATTTCTTATGCGCGCACACTATTAATGAAAGGTCTGATCGAGATCACAGGTGTATCGGCATCAAACCTTCTCTAAGCCTTGTATTGTAATATTCTTATTACCTGTTTGATGATGAGACCGCCGTAAGTAACAGCTGCAATAGGAAGCGCAGTTGCCCAGATGAACAGAACATGTTTAGGAAGAGAAGATGTAAGCAGCTTCATCAACTTATCCATGTTAGATTTGTACTCACTAACCCCATTAGGACCCCACCTTCAAGCCAAACAAATATTTATTAGCGACAGAAAAAACTAAAATCTACTTTAATTTTTGAAAATGGTAAATAATCAGGATATGCAGCATTTTATTGTTTATTAGTGCTTAGTGCTTATCTAACGTGGGTAGGAGATTCCAGAAATAGCATTTATTTAAATTTAATATTTATATTTGCATTTCTATCAGTTTCAGACAAGAACCGATCTACTTAAAAATATATCATTTATTTATTTAAAGGCTACATTTCTGGGAAAAAAACTGAATCAAGTGATTTTCACAATCCTTTTTTGATGCCAGATTTACACCAATAAGAGAATTCTGCAGAGACCCAAACAAATAGTAGTCAGATGGAGCAAAGTACAAGCTATATGGTGGATACATCAAAATTTCCCAACCAAAGTCTCTCAATTTTTGGCGAGTCATTAAAGATGTCTAACGTTGCCATAATGGAAGACAACGCCACAACTATTGATCGATTCTGGTCATTTTTTTTTTCACCTGCTTCAGTCGAATGAGTTGTTCACAGTATATAGCTGAATTAATGGTTCGGCCAGGTTTAGGCAGCTCATGATAAATAACTCCTTTCCGATCCCACCAAACTCTCAGCGTCACCTTTCTTGGCGCCAATCTGAGCTTTGTCACTGTTTTTGAAGCTTCTCTAAGATATGACCATGATTTTTTTTCGCACATTATTGTCATACATTATTCACTTTTCATCACCAGTAATCATTTGTTTAAAAAATGACTCGATTTTCTTTCTTTTCATCAGCAGCAATTGGAAATTCGGTCCATTAAATTAATCACTGTTAATTCATGTGGAACCAAAGTATCGAGGTTCTTTTGGTATCCAGCCTTATGTAAATGGTTCAAAATTTTCTTCTGTTTGATGATTAGTTCCGTAGCGATGTTGCAAGATGAAATATGTTGGTCTACTTCTATTTTTTAAAGAATTTCATAGACTTTTTCAACGACAGCCCAGCCAGTGAGAGAAATTTTAATCTTTAACATCAATCAAGCAAACCAATTTTGACACTAGTATTTAAGTACTTAAGTACTCATCATACAATTTTCGATGAACCTGTGATGCATTTTTCACTTTTCGGAAGTAAAACAGCAAAATATGAGGAAAAAGACCTTCTGGAACTTTTTATTGATATTTGACAATAAATGGCATGAAATAACTATATGCTGTCGAATGATTAACAACTATCTGACTGTTTTGAGGATAGGAATTAGAATAGGAGGGTTTTGAATGTGGATATGGAGCAGGAAAGCCCAATTTTGATAGAGAGGGAATTCCAAAAATTAACAGAGCGAGCAATAAAGGAGTTGTGCAATGACGCAGGTCTGTGAGAAGGCATTTATAGGTCTGATGGTCGAGATCTTATGGAAAGTGAATGGACTGAGGATTTGAATTGGAGAAAGTTGTGGGCGTATGAAGGATGATGATTGTAGAATTTGATGAGACTGTTCAATAGTCTTTTCAGTCTATAGAAGTCAGAGAAAAGCCACATACACCACCAGTGTAGTGGTGAGAGACATCGGAGTACTACTTCACTAGCGGGCCAGCAATCTCAATTCTTAGTCTATGTTATCTACATCACGTCACATATCGCGGACCTTTCAAACCTTTCAGTTATTACATTGTTTATTTTTCAGTTATTCCCTTATTACGTTCACTTATTAAAGTGGTTGAAGTAGATGAGAGTCTTTTTTCTCAACGAAAAAATCATGTGGGGAGAGTTTTACCTCAGCAATGGATGTTTGGTGGAGTTTGCCGAGAAAGAGATGAGTGTTTTATCGTCAAAATAAATGACGGAAATGCAACAACCTTATTACAAGCAATTAAAGACAATATAGAAGAGGGAACGACCATTTATTTGGACTGTTGGAAAGGATACAACATCCGACAACTGAACGAAGCAAACTATGACCATTTCCAAGTGAATCACCAGTATAATATTTTCGATCCATCAACTGGGGTTCATACTCAACATATAGAACGATTATGGGGCTCAGCTCAGTGGAGAAATAAAATACATAGAGAGACTGCCAGACAACACCTTGATTCATATTTATGCGAATTTTTGTGGTGGCGGGTTCAGAAAGAAGAGGTTCCTCGCTATTTTAAATAGCATAAAACTATTTTCCTCCCAAAATAAATAAGAAGTGAAAATAAATTGTACATATGTCGTTTATAGTGTTGATATTTTTTCTTTTATATGTACATATGTTCTTCAAGTGTTTTTTTATTATTTCATTTATCTTTATATGTCGTAAAATATAAGTATTTTTTTTTTTATTACATTTGTTTTTGTTTCTGTTAACACTTTCAATAATACGAATATAGGAATTACGAGAAGGCTTATCACTGCCTTATCGGAATTATCAGTGTTCAGGTTATAAACATTGGCAGATAGCAGTCAGTCCCGGCCTGCTAGTGAAGAAGTACCAAAACGAGAGAGGAAACAAGGAATCTATGCGTGTGTTAAGAGAGGAGATGGCGAAGCGATGAAACAGGTTGAGGGTGGAAATTGTCCATCGAGAGATGTGAGAAATATGGTGATTTAAGAACAGGTTTCGATCAATGAAAATTCCTAAATTTTCAACAGAGGAGTAGAAAGAGATTGGTTGGTCATTAAGGTGTACTAAGGGAAAGTCGGTATGGGTTCTAAGAAGGGAATCTGTAGGATAAAACGAAATTACTTGTTTTCCAACCCAATATATGTATCTTTCTGTTGGCCATGTGAAAGGTTACAATGTAATGAAGACATAGTGAAGCCTGACATGAACATGATTCAATGAAGCATTGACTGATTCATTATAAGCATTTGTGAACCTCAAAACTTTAGCAGAATCTTCTAAAATGACCTGAAAATACACATCTTGGATTGTTGTTATTATACTTTATATGACTAGACATTACGTAAAAGGTGGTTTATATGATAATTAAATGAGGCATATGACTTATCTGTGAAATTCTGACATAAATCAAACCACAAATAATTTATAAATATAAATATTAGTACTTAAACAATGAATAAATGTAATAAAAAATCACCTTGAAACATCCCATAAGCATGAATTCATTAAGATTACATCAGGACAATGTTTAGCACCGATTTTGATGTCATTAATCATTTTTAAAATATTATCACAATAGCACCTTGTGACAAACAGAAATTCAAAAGTAGTTTTACCATCCTTAAAGAAAAAAGATTAAAAGTTAACAAAAGCTTGAGAAATAATTATAGAACAAGAAAAATTATGACCTAAAATTTAGGATATATTATTGTAAAACTAATCATGCACGGAAAAAAAGTTTATCTCTAGGTGATTAAACATCTATGCAGGGGAAAGCAATAGTATGATTGATATGATCTTGGCCCAGTTGACATGAAGGGGTAATAATTTTGAAATAACGAAAATTACTGTACCATTAAACAACTGTCATTCCACCTTGTCCAGGGGCCTTGGTCCCGTGTTCGCTGTTTAAATGAGATTCTGAGAATACCCAAGGATTGACAACAGATTCAAATTATAACCTCCCTTTGATTAGATCAAGATCGGGGGTGGGGTGGCCAAATAGGCTAAAGTGTATAACAGCACCGCTAGTTGCCTGGCAACCGGATAACAGAGATTTGAGATGATATAAAAAGTACGAGTTCGCGTCCCAGTGCCGGAGGGGATTTTAAATTCCCCGCCCTCACCCCCCGGCCCGGGAAAATCCCGTATAGCCTAAAAGGCGAGGTAGGGAAAGAACAAAAAAAAAAAAAAAAAAAAGAAAAAAAAAAAATTATTAGATCAAGATTCAGGTCTTGAGCAAACTCCATTCTGCTCTGTTTTAGTTAAAATCAGAGTATGTTATAGCTTTAATTACATCACTGCTTTCGATTCCCGCCCACACTAAAGGGTTAAAAAAAACCCTAATGGTCCTTAAAAGTGAATGTCGCAGTCTTACTGGACGATTCAGTCCCTTTAGTCTACTTTCAAAGAATTATGGCCATTAATGGAATTTCATTTATGGTGTGATTATGAATTCCAAATACTATCAAATGAAAGTGGAATTATATTTGTACATTAGTACAAAAGTTGGTACTAGTTCACAAGAGTTCCGCACGGATTACAGCGTGATTCACAATCATTCCGATCACACTTGTTCATGAAATCCCGAAAACAGCCGAATGTTGTAGTCTTTTATGACGTCAGCTATTGCCCCATCGCACAATCCCTTTTACATGCATTTTTCAAGAAAAAAAAAAACCGTATTCCCTTCATGGAACTTTCTTATTATTAGTTTATTGACAAATTGCGCATTTACTAATTAGTTAATTGTCAATTTTTATTATAACGGTTATTACTGTGAAAAAAAAAGAAAAAATACATAAAATAATGTTTGAAATCATTTCTTCAAGTCCAGTTAAAAAAAAAATGCTTTTAGAAACATTTTTATTGACACATGTTTACATCTAGTGGTTGTAAATACGCATGTACTGTTGTATATTATCTTTTATAACTGTGTAGATTTTTTTATGATTTGGATAATAAATAATCTGAAGTTATCTATTATCTTTTTATTTTTTACACGAGTTTTTCGATAGAAGTTGGAATAATTTATTTTAACAAGCCTTTTATAGAATTGCGCAATCGTTTATCTAGTTTATGTAATTTTTATGATTTCTAATAATACGAGGGTCGACTATTTTCTAGTGGGGGACGCTTTGTATGCATATACTGATTTGAGATTGAATATCAAGTTTATGTAACTTTTTTGAATTCTTAAATATATGGATCCACTATTTTCTAGTGGTCAGAGCTTTTTATGAATATACTGTCGGATTTAAAATTGTTCGTTGATTTTTGGATTTCTTAGATATAAGAGTCCGCTATTAAGTTGTCAAGAACGCTTTTTATGAAAATAATGTCAGATTAAAGATTTCGTGAGAAAAGTTTACAATATTAATAAATAAAATGTATCTATCAATCGTTATATAGATAAATATTAATTCCAAAAATGTCCAATCCCAACAAGACTCATAGATCTGCCAGTTAGTTAACTGTTAACTCAAAATTTTTTTTTTGTTTTAATCGCTATTATTTTTATTGAATGAATTAGCTGTGTAATTATTGTTATTATTGGTTATTTTTCTTGGTAATCTGAAAATGGAGATTATTGTAGTTATTTAAAAAAAAAATCGTGTTTATATTCAAGAAAGGAATTAAGACATTGGAGAAACAGCTGACAAAGAATATCTGATAATTCTGAGATAATGAATAATGGAAATCATCAATAAGAAAAATAATATCGTAAATAGCATTCAGCGATGTAATAATTAAAGGTTTTTATCTATTACTATTTATTTTTCACAGATCTATGATACATGTACAAGTTCGATTAAAGTTACATAACGTAGCCTAAATTTCGAATATAAGTCGGCTCCTGCTATAAAACTGAACATGGTTAAGGTTATAGAAGTACTTAAATGGCGGGAAAGTTAATAGTAATTGGCCCAAGAGATCGGTCGCCTTCGCTTCTCTTTTGGATAAACCCGAAACGCATTCGGCACTCCATGAACAAGTGTGACCGAAGTGATTGTGAACCATGCGTAATCCGTGCGGAACTCTTATGAACTAGTACCCAAAAGTTATTTCAAATAATGGTATCACTGCAAAAGTGTCACTCCACTTTGACAAGTGGGCCAAGATCTCATGATCACGGTACAAATGGGATTCTGACTATAGACAAGGATTAAGCATGTGTTTGCAATATAACCTATCTTTATTTGCAACTTCGGTCAACTCCTTACTGGTCCTTTTCAGTTAAAATTAGCTTTGTTTACATCGCTAATTTCAACTCCCACTTGTTCAAAATTGGCCATCAAACCTTCAATGGGTTTATTTCAGTTGAAGTCAAGACCTTACTTGACAGTTCAATCACTTCTACCAACCTTCGTACAACTTCGGCCATTCTAATGATTCCATTTATGAGACAATAATGAGATCTTGAGCCACCCATGAAAGTGAAGTGACATTTGCACAGTAGTAACAAAGTTACTTCGGTACTAGTTCACAAGAGTTCCGCACGGATTACGCATGGTTCACAATCACTTCGATCACACTTGTTCATGGAATCCCGAAAACAGCCGAATGTTGTCGTCTTTTATGACGTCAGCTATTGTACCTTTTCATCCTTTTTCATGCATTTTTGAAGAAAAAAAAAACGTATTTCCTTCGTGGAACTTCCTTATTAAAAATGTATTTACTAATTAGTTAATTATTAATTTGCATTATAACGGTCATTACTGTGAAAGAAAAAGAAAACATATATAAAATAATGTTTGAGTCCTTTCTTCAAGGCCTGTAAAAAAAAAAATGCTTTTAGAAATAAAATTTTTATTGACACGTGCTTACATGTAGTGGCTATAAAAAATACGCATATACTGTTGTATATTATCTTTTATAAATTGTATAAAAGAGTTTTTCATCCTTTGGATAATAAATAATCTGAATGGCGATTATTGTAGTCATTTGTAAAATAAAAAAATCGTGTTTATTTTCGAGAAAGGAATTAACGTATTGAGAAAAGAACTGACGAAGAATATCTGATAATTCCGAGATAATGAATAATAGAAATCATAAATAAGAAAAATATTGTGAAATATCATTCAGAGATGTAATAATTAAATGTTTTATCTGTTAATATTCCTTTTTCACAGATATATAATATATGTACATGTTCGATTCAGATTTCATAATGTGTAGTCTAAATTTCGAATTTAAGTCAATACCTTAAATAACATTAATATAACTGAACATGTTTAAGGTTATAGAAGTACTTAAATGGTGGGAAAGTTAATCGTAATAACTAATTCAAGAGATCGGTCGCCTTCGTTCTCTGTCGGATAAACCCGAAGGCATTCGGGATTCCATGAACAAGTGTGACCGAAGTGATTGTGAACCATGCGTAATCCGTGCGGAACTCTTGTGAACTAGTACCGTTACTTCAAATAATGGTATCACTGTACAAGTGTCACTCCACTTTGACAAGTGGGCCAAGATTCCATGATCATGGGTACATAAATGGTATATGCGTATTTTTAATGTTAACAACTATAATTATAGTTATATTATTAATGTCTATAGTTTAAAATTTAAAAATACAAAGTAAAATATTTTACATAATTCTTTTTACCTCAAATATCCGATGTTCTGTAAAGTCACGCCCTCTAGTTAATTCACTACGTGCAATTAGCCTGTCTCCAAGAAAACTGTTTTCAAGCTAACAAAAATTGAAAAATCAAGGTAAAATAACTGGCAATACACAACACTCATTGCAATATTATAGACAAAATCATATTTAACATTATATATTTACGGACAATGGAACAATTATTTGCCAATATTACAACAAAAAAAATAAACAGAAAAAGTTATAAGGAATCGATAGTATTATGATGTGTTAAGTAATACAAGTTTGTCATATTTTTTCTGGTATATATCTAACTTAATAGATTTAGCTTGAAACTGAATTATAGAATTAAATAGGCACTACTTTCTAAATGTGCATCTAATATATAAGTAAATGCAGTGAGAAAAATGTGCCCGTATACACTTTATACAAATAACAATACCTGATACAAATTCATTTCATGCACAAATATAAAGATTTCTTTTCTGTAAATCAGAACATGACATGATTACAAAAATACACAATTTAAATAAAATATTTTATTACATGAAAATACCAATACCTACTTTACTTACCCGTCTTTTTAGGCAACCAAGATCAATAAGAGAATTCTTTTTATAAAGCCATAAAACATCCTTGTACAGAGCACGAATATCTGGAATAAAAATCGCACGTTGTTAAAAAGAATCAAAAACACAATAGCAATATTATATTAATGATTTTAACTTGAATCTCCGATAAACAAGATGTGTTTTCCATTCAATAAAGAACGGGCGTCTTCTCTTTTAAATACATCTGCCATTCTTCAATAACTTGTTGATCCACAGTAGCAACTGTTGCAGCGTCCCCCGATTTCTTCGAATCGGTGTCACCAACTGCCAAACAAAGTAGAAAAAACCTTTATAAATTTCACTTTTTGTTTATTAATTTTCAATGTTTCATATCTTCAAGCTCATATTTATAAAACGGTAATATTTAAATCAAAAAATATATTTGAATTTGACATGCAACAGCTGGTCGTATTTTTTGTAATGAAATAACAACTTGTTGAATTCCAATTATTTCTCATTGAAAAGTGTTATTTATTTAAAATAGATATATCAGTTTTGGGTACAACATACATAATATATTTGTTAAATCACTTAATATAAAAATATGTAGAAACTACACCAAGAGTACTTTTTAGACTATGTTTATTTACATAGGATAAGTTCAAAGATTAAATCAAAGATTAACAGCATGTCAACAAGATATCGAATCTTGGCGGTCAACTAACTTCATTTTTTTGTTATATTTAACCGTGTAAATCAAATATTAAGATTTTAAATTAAAACACTATTTAGATTAATAATATCCGAATTAAAATCACCTTCTTCCAAAATAATGAAGAGAAGAATAGTTGGGGTGATCAGTCAAAAAAGAAGGCAAAAATAAATATTATCATTTATTTTTGCCTTCTTTTTTGACTGATCACCCCAACTATTCTTCTCTTCATTATCCACGACAGTCAACCATTTACCAATTATTATTCTTCCAAAATATTTTATTGCTATCCTCTTATTAATAACAGTGAATTCTAATCGATCGAAGTATCCCCACATATCTCCATCCCCACCCCTATCCCACATATATTATTACAGTAAGGCTCGAAATCGGTTTTGTACCAAATATATGCTCTTATCATGTTCAAATACCATGAATGGGGTACCGTTGGATTCAGAATTACACGGGAGATTAACGAATCCAGTTTTGTTTTCCTTTCTAAAATAAATAAAGTTAATACAAGCATTTTTCTAGGCTTCAATACTGGGACGATGGTAGGTCTGTAGATCGATACGGAAAAATTGGACATTGAAGATTTTGATGCGTACAGCAAGACTCAGATCCTGCGTTTTTTTAAGCCCAAAAACGTACTATTGTCGAAATAACGCAAGGCATAGGGTTCGCATCCAAACAACCTTACATTAATTGTAGAACTGTCATTGAATACATGTCTCAGATCGTCGACTTGAGGTCTCTATAGGAGGAGTTTATATTATTTATCGATGGTTTTTTTGATCGGCAAGGCATATCACCGTTAATTTTTCACCAAATCTCAAGATTGAGCCAACAGTTTCGAAGGCTTCCTTCTCCTTCAGGCGGGCAAAATAGTCCAATCATCCTGAAAATTCAGGCAAGCAAGTTATGAAAGAAAATAAACTGTGCGAATAAATAAAAAACTACATACTTTTCCCTGAGTTATGCCCATGATTATTTAAAAGATTACTAAATTCCCTACAAAAAGAAAAAAAAATCATCGAAATCGGACAATTTATAGCAAAGATACAGCTTATTGAAATTTGTAAACATGTTGATTTCAAACAAAAATGAAGATTTAAATTAATTTTTGTTTCCTTTATCGATTATATTTATCGATAAAGTAACAATTGATTTCTTTACCTTTTGATATGTAGCATTATTTATTTTCTTATTAATTTGGCATTTGATAACTATATGCAGTGCGAATTTTTCGCACGGACTCACTAGTAAGTATAATTTTAGAAATCATAAGGTATCACGGGCGGATCTACGGGGGAGGGCTTTCGGGCTGAAGCCCCCTCCCCCCCAAAATGGTAAAATATAGCCAAGTTTTATCGAAAAAAATATTAAAAAAGTATCTCTTAAAGTATTATTGTTTGTGTAATTACATTTAAAGGGGCTTTAGGAACCACTTAAACACCATTTCATACAGGTAGTTAGTTTCTTTCATCTTTTCCAAAGTAATTATCGTTATTTTTATGAAAAAAATCGCTTTCAGGCTGAAGCCCCCCCCCAAAATTAAATCCTGGATCCGCTAGTGTAAGGTATATAAAATACAAAGGAAGGAGATGGTCCGGGGTTGCGGTCATAAAAAGGCTAAATAGTGGTAAAACTATTTTATTGAAAGCCAACGTTTCGACCCGACTTTGCAGGTCTTCATCAGGGCTAGAACGGACAAGATACAAAAAGATAGAGAATTGTGGCAATTACATAATATTTAGAAATAATTTATAAACAATGTGAATAAGCTTATTAGAATTATAAACAGTAAGTACAATAAAATATGGACTAAGTAAGCTGAGTAACAAGATCCTAAACTACAGTAAATAGATGCTAACAATTGTTGTAGTGTAATATATAATAAATGAAAATGTGAGTATAATTATACAAAATCTACAGGAGAAAAATAAAATTAGAGACTTACAGGTGTGTTCCTCTAGGAGTTTCACTTGGAACTGGAAAGGCAGCGGTAAGGATTTCAGGTATAGGGGAAGTTAACATGTGTTAACTAAGTAAACATTGAAAAACCCAGGAAATTACAGTATCCAGGAATTTTTGAAGATATGGATGGATACAATGGAAAAATACTATATCTATGAAATATTAAATTATAAACATATAAATATACATATAAAATAGAGTTGAGAGATGTGAGAGGTATTTCATGATTCTAGATCAGAGTACAATGTGAATAAACCCAAAATTTACAAAAAATAAAATATAAATATAGAAATAACTTCATTAACATACATACATTGCAGAGCTAACTTAAAAGTATAGAGAGGGGAAAAAAATTAATACTTATAATTATATTTGGTTGTACATATGTAAGAAAATTACATTTGAATATTAGTGTCGAAACGTTGGCTTTCAATAAAATAGTTTTACCACTATTTAGCCTATTTATGACAACCACCCCGGACCATCTCCTTCCTTTATAATGCAACGGTCAACTATTATATATTCTATATAAAATACAGTTTCACTGGCCTATTCTATGATTTCCTGTTGTCCTTTTCTATGTCACCTGGTTTGAAACTTTTCATTTCGAAAATCCTCAAACATCATCGAACATCCTCAAAATGTGCTTCTCTCTCAAAAATTCCTAACCCCGTCAAAATATGCCCCTCTCAAAACATTTGACATCTGGGCACTCTCGGGTGTAGTAAAGAATTTCGAATTAGAACCAAAAATGGAAAATATTAAATCAAACCATAAATATCAGTATTTTTGAAAATTAGACTAAATAACTTGATCGCTATCGATCCTTGTTAATATTAGTTTTAAAAATAAAATCGATAATTTAATTATGATCATTAATGAAATATAGCCTACTTACTTCAGTTACCCTTATTTAATTATATAATATAGTAGTTTAATTTCAAATTATTATTAATTAAAAACGAGAATATTTAATACTATTTTTAATGTTTCTGAATACGTTTTAATTGTTTCATAAGTTGATAATGACTCAATTACAGCTTTGCGTCATTTCTTCCTCCCCCCCCTCTCTTTAACGATTGCTGAAATATCACATAAAAGTCTCATCAAATAGCTAATTAAAAAGTTGCAAAGGTTCGCCTCTGATGCCTTTATTACAATTAGGGAATTTCCAACTCAATTTTGTAAAAGGTGCCATCTGCCGGATCGTAATCACCTGTTATAATTTTCGTAATGTATTTTTCAATGGAATTTATTCCACGAGTTTATGAGGTGATAATAATTAGAAGGCTGGAATAGCGAAAATGAATTGCTTTAAATTAATGAAAAAAATATAAAATCTGTTTGTTATAGCGTATTTATATGAGAGAAATAATGGTTCAATTTAAAACGTAATCATTATATTTTTTTTTATTATTCCTTAATGATATTTACAACTGTATTGAATAAATACATCTAATAAATTTGAACATAATGGATATAATGACATGAAAACACGTGCTGAGTAATTATCTAATGGTAGCACTCTAATGATATGTCTACATTAGGAGATCAAGGGGCCATCTTCTTTTCAGACGCCTAGGAGGGTTATCAGGAATTTAAGAGGAAGCAAGCTTAGAAACGAGAGGATTAGGATGATTCTGAAGTTCATTATGGAAGGATAGGTATCTGGATTGGGCCATATCTGAAACAAAAGAAACATTAAGGTCATTATGGATGGTTTTATTTGTAACAAAGTAGGGAGAATTGAGGATTTTAAGAAGGATTTTGGATTGTAAGGATTGGATACGAGAGGAATTCGATGGTTTAGAGGAGCCCCATAGCTCAACTCCGTATGTCCAAATATGCCTTATTATAGTCAAGTATATGAGTCTTTTGTAATTAATTGGAAGTTTAGAGCGTTTGTCTAGTAAGTGCTGAAGTAATCGGAAACGTCGAGCGGTTTCTTGTCGTTTCAGTCTAGTATAATCATTATATAAATATGGAAAGAAAAACAGTTCAATCCATTTTTCTTCTCTGTTTCTCAACCGATTTCTCTTTTTTGTTCAGTTGCTGTTAACGAGCTTTAGTGTTATTATTAAAAAAAAAAAATGATAATAGTACATACAAATAAAAATATAAATGTTAGTTTTTTGAAAACCGCTAATCTCCGAAAGTTCTTCACCTAGAGCTTTGAAATTTTGATACAACATTGCAATCAAATTCAGGAGTGATTTTATAAACATTTCATTACCATTTGGCCTTTCGTTTCCAATTATAGGCCGACAATTTTAATTTAACCGACGATATTAATGAGACTTAGCTAAAGTCTTCTCCTTGAAGCCCTTTTAATTTCTGTATGCAACACAATTCCCCAATTCCCCGAAAAGATGCTGACCAAAAAAAAAAAAAAAAATTATGTGTACTTATAAAAGAAAACAGTGCAGTACCATTTGTTAACATTTTGAGTTATTGGCAAATGTAAATCCGTCGTAATTTTTTAAAAAAAAATATTTGAACCCACTTTGCTCACTTGGTGAAATTTTGAGTTTATCACACTACCTTATAAAAATAAAAATATATGATACAGTCTATTGCTTTGATAACATATTTTAAAATATACCCACACGTAAAAAATAAATAAAAAAACAATCAATATTTAACAGATATGTGGGTAATTCTCGTTTTAGGGGCAAGTTTTATTCTATTGTAAATTTTACTAGATTAGTTAAGCTTAACTTGATTTTTTCACTGCTGCTATACGGTGAAGAAGTATTTCTTCATATTGAAAAATTAAAAATTTAAAAC